TCATGGATTTATGAAAAGGACAATTATTTAATTAATAATATTATTTTAAATAAATTAACATGATCTTTTGTATACCTCAACTTATTCGCCTATAAATTCCCCTTAAAATTTCCTATTTAGTACTAGAAAAATTTGATCTCATTTCGTGGTCTTCATTGTGCTTTTTCCTGACTCCTCTACAAGCTCCACATATAATTTACAATTTGATACGCCTAAGTATTCAGTTCACACCCATTTCTCCGTCTTAACCAAGCTCTACTGTACTTTTTCCTAGTCATTAATGTAGGTTACTTTTGCATATTTCGCACGATCTTTTTCCATGCCACATAAATTGAAAACTAACAACAAGAACGCAACTAATTAAAGGTGTGAAGAATGCAACGAGCAAATGAGCACGCACCACATTTTGTCTCATCCACTTCGTCTTCTTCTTCTTTAGCACAGGTGTAGAGCGCAACACAGGTGTAGCTGTATATGTCTTCATATTCATGTGTGTATCTGTGTGAAATTGAATGAGTCGGCAAAAGAGCGAAAGGCGCATAATAAACCATAATGACAAAATTACTATATTTAGTATGCGAAAAATCGGTCAAAGTGTCAGTAGGTTGTCAGCAGGTGCCTTCATTAGCACCACGCACACACACGAACACGCACACACTCGACTCCCGGCTGCGCTTCAGATTTTGCTCTCACTTTAGCCAAATAACGTCAGCGACATTCGCATGATATTGCAGAAAAACAAAATATATATTTTTTTTTGCTTTTTGGCATTAACTTCTTTTCACCTGAAGATCAGGTAGCAGCCGGCAGCATGAAAATCTGTTCAACACGATTCATGAGTTTATTCCCAATCTGCTGCTTCTTCTTCTTCTTCTACATGTTATTTATTTCTAGCCAGGCAACTTTCATTTTTGCTGCCATAGAATATCAATATATAGACAAATGCTTGATGGATTAGTACAAAGAAGAAGCAGAAGAAGAAGCGTATCAATAGATAATTGGCATGTGTGTGTGAGTGACTGCCTGCCTGCCTGCCTCTTCAAATGTGTATATGTGTATGTGTGTGTGTCTGTTTTTATAGCACTTTGTTTAGTCCGCTTTGTGCACTTGACTCGTCACACAACAGCCTCAACGCCTGCAGCTCAAGTGTTTTCTACTTGTTGTGTTGTCTAGTGTATTTTGACGCGCTTAGAAGTGTATGCATGCGTGTGCGTGTGTGTGTGCGTGTGTACGTGCTTCAGAGTGTCTGAAGTGCGGCAATTACTAGCCGCGCAATACAATGGTGCAAGAGCGAGATAGCATGCTGCCGCCGCTCTTGTCAATCAAATTTGTGCGGAGGCGACAAACTTAAGCACAAAATGCTGATCTACAGCCATGTTAAGCACACAAGCAAGCGTGTAGCACAGTGTAAATTAAGCGAAGCAACAATGCGGAACAGCAATAACAACAAACAGCTTGGAAGCTGTTGATTTTGATTCTCCTTTTTTTTTTTTTTTTCTTTGGAGTCTTTTCGTTAACGTTATAAAAATTGAAAGCTACGCATTCAGGTGACCCACATTTGGCAGCAGCAGCAACAGCCTCAGCCGCAGCAGCTGCTTGTTTGGCATGTTTCCCATGTTCTTAGCTCCAAAAATCTGTCGATGTTCGACCAAAGCAACAAGAACAACAACAACAACAGTTATAGCAGCAGCATTAACAACAACAACAAAACCCGCTACTGCTATAAGCAGACAGAGAGGTTTTTTTCTTTAACACCGTTTGTTGTTCTCTGATACTCTTTGATGCTCTTGTTTCAGAAATCTTCCCTTCATCTTGAAGTACACTAGTAGCAGGCATGTTGTACAGACACATTATATGTAATGCATAGCAAACTCACCTAAAATCATATTATACATATATATGTATGTACATATATATATTGTTAACTATATTTAATAATAATGGAACAATTTAAATATATATACATACATACAATTTTATAATTAACTAACCACATTGCTATTTACAGGGTATTAAGCCCGCGACTCGTCGCTCTTGAAAGTTAATTCTTGTTTTCTTTTTGCCATGCAATCAATCTCTTTCTCTCTCACTCTTTCCCTTTTACCCTTGCCATTTGCTACTGTCCACCGCGTGCACAATTTCGTGAGCATTTCAATTCTTGTCCCCTCCACTCATATTTTTTCTTCTTTTTTTTCTGTTTGGCTTTTTTTCATTATTATTATTTTTTTTTTTTTTTGCACGCTTACTCGGCTGGAATTTTAAATAATACATTTGACGCTTTCATTTTAGCTAAAATGCCGCGGGGCAAACGCAATTTTATTAACGCCTACCTCTTATACTCTTTCGTTTCCATTCCTATTTGTGCTGCTTTACGTTTTGTGTTTTGCTATTTTTTTCTGCCGGCGAAATGTCATCATTAACTTTTGGTCATTTTTCCATTGAACTTCAATTAGCAACGGCTGGCACTCACATTTTTCGCAAAAGGCTTTTCACTTTTTTGCACACGTTTATGAACTTTTTTTCTTGATTTTTGAAAGTGTCGCAATTAAAAAAGTAATTGGCATAAAAAAGGAAATTGAAGAAGGGCCATGGGTTCCAGCTAATTTTTCGTATTTGTCGCGAATTTGCTACACTTTTCACACACACTTTGCACTTTATTTTTATACGCTGATTTAATTTACTTTTATCTTTAATGTAATTTCTCATTTATTTTATTTTAGGCAGATGCCCGAATTATTAACGAAATGTTCGACATGCTAAACAATTAGTTGTAAACGGTAAGTAAATACTAAAAAGAAATAAGAAGAAGGTAAAGGTGGGGCCGGAGAGGGAGAACAAACAGCTGGAGCTGCTCCTAGTTAATTAGTATTCTAGCTATCATGCGAGCTGGTCACACTGACTGTGTTAACTTAAGACTGAGCAGCAGATCCGTGCGCTTTCGTCAAGTTGTAAATAGTTGCCTGTGCGAGAGCGAGAAAGCAGACAACTGCTCTGACGTCATTGTTTTTCTTTTTTGCTGTTAATATTTGCATTGAATATAATGCAACTCATTGGCTAAATAAACTAAACTAACTAAATAAATAATGTTTGATTGCAGCAAAATTCATGAAATGGTTGACTATTAATATATATTTAATTGATTACATACTAAGTACTGTGTGCTTTCGTATGCCCAAATGTACTCCCACATACATATGCATACACGTATTTACATGTATGTGTTCGTGTAAATGGATTTCAGAGTGCAGAGAGTAAGCAAAACAATTGTGCCTTCTCGCTCGAACGCTCGACTTCAGATGATGTGCAGGCACAATCGTTTGATTGATCGACTCTAATAGGGACCCGAGCACGTATGAAGTTTGAGATGTCCCTTCTATTTATGTATGTGTGTTGTAAGTAGTTGAGTGAGCTTGTTGTTTAGTGAGAGAGCGAGAAAATAGATGAAGTTTAATTGTAGGTCACAGCCTATTGTTGTTGCGAGCGAGAAAGTAGATGCATTTCGGTTGTAAGCAGCTGCCTGGTCTTACGACTATTTATGAGAGAGAGAGTGAGCGAGAGTGGTAAAGTGATAGAGGCGAATGAAATGCTGTGACGTCATGGAAGCAATTTTAAATTCTTCTGAATTCAAATTTAACAGGCGTAAATTTTACTCCAATTCATTAATTTGAAAGTTTTTGCCAAATTTAAATATTTATTTCAAATATTCAATGCGCTTTAACTATTTTTAAATCTAAAATTCGCTTTTAAATGGAATCCAATTTTAAGCTGGGGATTTAGGTAATTGCCTGTATATGTATATATATGTATGTGCGCATACATCTGCACTAAATCTAGTTGCCAAAAAAAGAAACGGATTTTATTTCTATTTCCATTTTCGTTGCCAACTTATTTTTATTGAAATTTTGGCCCACAAAATTATTTGCAAAAAGAGGAAAAGAAGAAATAAAGGAATGAGAGCAATCGACAGGCCACGCCCCCACCCCCCCTCTGGCGAATAGGAATGCATATACACATAGAAATATATATATATATATATCTATATATAGGAGCTGAAAACTGTTGAACAATGCCAAAAAAGAAAAACAAAATGCGGAAAAATCAAACAATATTCGCTTTATTGAGCTTTTAAGCCGCTCAGCCGCTAAAAGTATCGAGTACTTTGGGCTCAGTATCGAATATTCCAACACTAAGTACGGCAGCAAGCAGTTGTAATTTGAATACCCTTTAAATTGACGAATACATAGAGGGTATAATTGGCATAAAGTTGATTAAAATATAAAACACTTTTCTTTTTTTTTTTACTCATTGATATATCTAATAGACAAATTTCTTATACATGCATATTTCATCTAGTAATTTTTATAGGGTATGATATACCATGATATCATTTATCAGCCACAATTCCAATCAGAAAGAAGCATTCCTTGTATTCATATATGAGTTTATAGAGTAGATCTTAGTCTACTCCTGCTTACTCCTGCTATTAGAAGTCCTACATAGTTGTTAATTTCCTTTCACATGGATGTGAGAGGGTCTCTGTAAGGGAGCCAAAACAAATACTGCATATTGGATATATATGATGCTTGTGTGAAGAGAGAACTTGTGTAACATCCATATAAGTTAAGCTATGTATTTTCTAGTTCCACACATCCGAATGCCAATTGGCGAGTGTTGGTAAACGCATTCAGTCGAGAGGGCAAATTAGTAGCGTCGATTACGAAAATTGTCGATAAATGATTGCAGCTTTATTTGAGTGCCCAAATAGTACTTAAATGTAAATTACATGGAATATGTGCGATTTATGAAACAAAATTTTGGCAATATTCGCGGATTTTACAATTTCGGATTAGAGATTTATGGGAGGGTGAGACTTTGTTTTTTTTTTTTTGTTGTTGTGCTAGCTGCATGCAACGGCTAATTCAACAAATCAGTGGCATTCCGTATGCATATTCGAGCCATATTGACTTTGAGTGCAAAAATAACAGCAAAAGAAGCGAGGGAAAATTGGGCGAAAAAATGTTGGAATATGGAATGGAACGTGTTTTCGCATAAATGGAAAAATTTACTAACGAACTGTTCGATTTTAGATTTGTGTTGATGGACAAACAGGATGAATAAAAATTTGCATGTGGGCGAAGAGAGATGAATTGCTCAACGGGCAGATACTCTGTAAATGCGGGGAAGCAGTAGAAAAAGTGTGGGAAATGATTTTTGTGTGGAAATTAAGGAGTTGAAGTTAAGAAAAGTTGATTCGACGAAATGATACTCTATGACTTAACTGTTATATGCTATGTATATAAGAAAAATAAATCCAATAAATATGAGGTATAAAAAAATATTATTTTGGAGTAAAAAATAATATATGTTTAAAGAAAAAAAATGTTTTTTGGGTAACAAAAATAAAATCAATATTAAAGAAAATTATTAAAGTTAAAGGGATGCTTTAGAGATAAGAGGCTAAAAAATAAATCCAGTTTATTTGTATGAGAAAGCACCGCCTTTATATCCTACCCGGCCACTTTCCTGTAATTACAGGGTATACAAGGCACATAACTGACCATGCTTGACTGCCGTTAAGGCAGCGTGGGTGTGTGTTTGTGTGTGTGCTGTTTTGGCTAATGAAGCTATTAGTGTTGGCCTTGTTATTGACCATTCATCGTTAAACTGAACTGTTTTTATTATTTTGGTAGCTTCTTTTACTTTTTTTTTTATTTTTTGCTTATGGAAAACGTTCGACGACGACGGAAATTCCCATTTTCCGCAAACTCCCGCTACAAAAATTTTTTTTACTTGATTTACTCCATGCTGCGCTGCAAAATACAAAAAGGCAACAGCAGAATGGCAAAAGTTGTTGTATATATATATATATGAATGTGAATAAATATATTTGAATTTGTGTGCTTGTTCAAGATATGAGAGGCGAGCATATTGGCTTCAGATATTTTGTATCCATAGGGATCGATGCATTGAAAGTCTTACTAAAGGAATCGGTAATGTTCTTTATAAATCCACGGATTTCTATTTATAGCTAAATAGATATAATTCTTGATAAAGAATTGTTCAGACCAGGGAATGACACTTAAAGATTCTTGTGATCCGCTCAAGCTGCAGAGTGACTCATAGCCTCTTAAAGATTTATCGGAGCCACGGGATGATAGATCCACAGATTCATATTTATAGCTACAGTGGCCTGATTTTCTATAGATATATTCAAACCTTACTTTAAATAGTCCAGCGCATTAGATTATATCTTTCATAGATACATTGGCTAGATGACCAGATATATGAGCTTTAAGGTATTCCCATTATCATCAGAAATCAGATTTCAAACAATTCCTATACATATACACCTTTTCCAGGTCTGTAACGAGTATTCAGCAGTCGGGCATGCCCTCGAGCAATGCTCACACTTATTTTGTTTTTATGCTAACTGTAAAGTTAAGGGCAGTCGGGCGATTTCTGTAGCATATCCGTTATGTGTTTCATTTTAATTTTCATACTCGACGGGAATGCTTTGAGAGAGAGAGAGAGAGAGAGACAGAGAGAAGGCGAGAAAGAGGGAGGCAGAGGATTAGCTCAGCCTAAGTGCGAGTGAGAGAGCAAATGTAAAACGAATTCAAATGGAATGAAATAAAATGTTTTCGACTATTGGCGGAAGTGTGCCATAAGTTTATTTCTTGTGCGAGACAGAGAGAGGGAGAGAAGGAGAGGGAATGCGTGTGTGTGTGTGTGCGTGCGTGCATGGCATTTAGTTTGCTGCGCATTTGGTTATATTTTGGCTTATTGGCTTTTAGCCGCCATAATGTAACGGAAATTGTTCAACTTTTTGCCAAAGATATAAATATATAATTCAAATGTCGCAAAAATGGGGCCGACGCCGGCAACTGGTTGTTGCTGCTCCTGCAGCTGCCTCTGCTGCCGTTGCTGCCGGTTCAATTTAGTGTTTAAACTTTGCTGCAAACAGTTTCGCCTCGGGCGAGAGCTTGGCCCAAACAAACATCTGGCTGGCTGAGCTCGGGCAGCTGCCAGCCATTAATATTTTTCAACTATTTGCATAAATTAATGTGCGCACAAAATGTTGCCCAAAATATGCCAGCAGCAACTTGCCCAAATTGGGGGCGGTAGGGAGGTACACGCACACACGCACACACACACACACACACACGCGCTCTGCACGCCCTGCGTGTGGGTCAGCTCTTTTGCAATTGCATTTCAGCCTCGGGCACATATTACTTCAGCAAAACTTTAGCCAACATATTTTAAATACCGCCCGCACACCTGCTCTGGCAGTGGGCGTGGCTGTCCACCGCCCACCCGAAACTGGGCGTCTGCGCTAATACGCAATTAGTTAGCGGCAACGCACGGCAAAAGGTGAAACGTACATTGTGTCAGCTGCTATTTGGCTTTGCCTGATGATGGCCAGCATCACCCACCTGCTCACCTGCTCACCTGCTCGCCTGCTAAGCTGCCTCTAACACTCTCATCTACAGCCAGCTCCATCTCTCTCTCTCTCTCTCTCTCTCTCTC